GGCGGGGCTTTTGGGTCTTTTCTTCCTCCTTGGTCGGGGGGGGGGGGGGTTTTAACTTTTTTTTTTGGTAAATGTACGCTCCCCCCCCCCCCCCCCCCCCGTGTCCTGTGAATGCCCTCTCCTTGCACTCTCCAGCTTTTCCGCCCCCAAGAGAGCTGGGTCAGTTCAGGATCCCACATAGCCTGCCCAGGCAAGGACTCTCAAACCCATGCAGTAGAATGAAAAGAGTAGAAATAGGCCAGCAGTTGTGTGAGTTCTTTTCTCTGACGATTATTGCAAGCTTATATCCTAGCAATATCATAGACTCAGATAATAAGATGGTTTAGTTGGATTAATTGAAAGGCCAGGTGACAGTATGAAGATGGAGATGAAGAACAAAGTTCAAGCACTACTCGCATCAGCAGAGTCAGGAAAGGGCTTGCCCGATACACACTGTCAGTGGTAGAACTGGGGGAACAAGCAAAACACCCTACATAGAAATCTCCCTTCAAATTCGCCTTAATGGCATGAACCCAGAGACTTACTTTGGAATGTTTCATTTGAACTGAATGTGATGTTGGCCCTGGTGTAGCCTCTCTCAACATTTCCTAAAACACCCATGAAAGTAAATCAACCACAAAAAATACAGGAACCTACCATGTATCTGGATGGTAAATAAAAAGATAAATGAGGGTCGCCTTGGTGGCTCAGTCGGTGAGTGTCTGACTTTGGCTCAGGTCATGATCTCACCGTTCGTGGGTCTGAGCCCCACATCAGGCTCTGTGTTAACAGCTGAGAATCTGGAGCCTGCTTCAGATCCTGTGTCTCCCTCTCTCTCTGCCCCTCCCCCATTCTCGCTCACCTCTCTTTCTCTCTCTCTCTCTCTCAAAAAAAAAAAAAAAAATTAAAAATTTTTCCAAAAAAGATAAATGAAATAATAGGTGAAAAGTAAAATGCAGACTGAGATCAAAGAGGATTAGAGGATGCAAAAACCAAAATACAGATATGGTGAAATGTTACCAGGCAATAATTTTTGTTTCCTTTTATATCTTCGGTCATGGCAACAAACGTTTTTCATGTTAAAAGAGTATGATCCATAAAATATGTCACTCTGTTTCTTCTTTCTTTTTTCAAAAGATGGAAATTTGATGTTCCAGCAAGTGCCAATGGTTGAAATTGATGGAATGAAGATGGTCCAGACCAGAGCCATTCTCAACTACATTGCCACCAAATACAACCTCTATGGAAAAGACATAAAGGAGAGAGCTCTGTACAGTACTTTTTTTTATTCTTTCATCAGCAATTAATGTAAAAATTTGGGTTCTTGGGCAGGCAGGACTGTGTTGGGGGGATCATGGCCAGCAGCAGCACAGGACTTGGTGGTATAGATTGAGGTCCAAAACCACAGAGAGCTGTGAGGATGAGGGATTCCCCTAGGAGTGGATTCACCAAGTGGGATTACAGAAAAGGAAGTGGTCCACATATAGAGCACATATGATGACAGTCTTTTGCTAATGCTGATGAACTAGGAAGCCAGAAAGATGGTGGAGTCACTATTCTCAGTACTCAGGCCTTTAGGAGCTGGATATCAGCCAACAGCTAGAGACAAAGGATGAGTCTGAGTGTCCGGCAGATAAGACTAGGGAACAGAAGGATCCAAAGGCGCTGACTCTGAAGGTTCAGAAATGATCAAAATGATGATCAAGAACCTCACTTATCAGCCTGTTATATGGACTGGCCGCTTGACAAGGGTTAGCAAAGCATGGTCCTCAAGATGCCAGGGTTATCACGAGCATTTTGATACAAGACCGAAGTAGCCAGATTTAGTCAATACAACCATATCTGTGGGTTCTCTCTGTGGTTATGAGACCACATGATTGAAATTTAAATCTCAGAAACTGTTATGAGTTGCTCAAAAGTGAACCATAGAGTTGCCATATTCCAGCAACTCCGTTACTAGGTATGCAAATAAGACTACTGAAAACACATCCACGCTAGAACTTGTACACAGATGTTTATAGCAGTGGTGTTCTTAAAATTCTTAATGTGGAAATGACACAAATGTGCATCAACTGATGAGTGGTTAGTCTACTTATCAATGCAATATTGTTTGGCCATGAAAAGGAATGAAGTACTGATGCATGCTACAACATGGATAAACCTTGCAAACATCATGTTATATGAAGGAAACCAGACACAAAGGTACATATTGTGTGAATCCATTCGTATGAAATATCCAGAGCATTCAAATATATAGAAATAGAAAGCAGTTTAGTGGTTGCCAGGGGCTGGAGGAGGGAAGAAATTAGAATGGGTGTAAAAGCATACAGCATTTCTTTTGGGACTAGGAAAATATTCTGTAATTAGTGTGTGGTGATGGTACAGAATTCTGTGTCTTTACTATAAAAATCACAAACTTAAACACTCTTGAAGTATGCACATTATGGTATTGAATTATGTGCCAATAAAGATTTATTAAAAAAAAAAAACTCTTACAGAAAGCCCAACTTGGAACATTCAAAACTACTCTGCTGGAATATGTGCTACTTGGAATGTACAAACTATTTCACCATTTCAGGAGATATTTTAGGTGAAGACTTGAGAAATGCGAACAAGGCCAGAGTTGGGCAACTGTATGTGGACAGAGTGTGGAAACATGTGCTGTGGGAAATTATTGGAAAACCTGCTGACATTGGTTTAAACAGGCCTGGGTGGTGTAACAGGATGAGAGAGGAAGGGGACATGACTGAGATGGTTGTGCCAGGGACTCTCTCTGGAGATCACTTAGGGGGCAGGTCAGCCACATGGAGTCACACTCCGTTTGTGCCCAGAACAAGCCACCATGGAGGTGACAGACCCGAGGTATGGTCCCAGTAGGTATTTGCAGGATTCCACCAATTTCCTGTGACTCTGGACAGGTCACAATGCTCTCTGTCCCTCTATTTCATCATGTGTATAATGAAAGTTTTAGACACATATCTACCTTGATGGCTTATTCTAGGATGAAATGTTCAAATCAAGTAAAAATCAGAGCTGAATGACTGGTATATAAAAATGCATAAAATGGAGCTGAATTACTTTGCCACCTCCTGATGCCCCATTCTCATACATTTTTCAACTCTAAAATCAAGGCAGAAGACATTTGACAATTTGGTCATTTTGTCTTTCAGGATAGATATGTACACAGAAGGTATGGCAGATTTGAATGAAATGATCCTCGTTTTGCCTCTGTGTCCACCTGATCAGAAAGAGGCCAAGATTGCCCAGATCAAAGAGAAAGTAACAGATCGTTATCTCCCCGTGTTTGAAAAAGTAAGTGGACAGTCATTGAGCACTTTGGGTGCTGGACATAGAGGACAAAGAAAGACAGCGTCTGGCATCCCTTGAACCTTTACCTTCACTTCCAGTGAGCCTTCCTGAATACTAACGCAGGAAGAATTGCACCAGTGATACCCAAGTTTTAATTTTCCAGCAAGACTTCAACTTACCAGGAGCCAATCGAGAATTCTCTATTTGGCAGACTTTCATGGTCATAGTTAGAGCCTGGGCTGCTGAAGGCTCTGAGAGCCACACTGGACATTGGAGTAGGTGCTGCAGACAGAGCACCACATAGGGGCTTTGATCCAAGAGGAACACAGTGAGAGCAATGCATCAGGAGATACTGTGGCAACATGCGTAGGGAGATAGGGAGACATGAGGCCAGCTGCCCTTCAGGAGAAAGTGGCAGTGTCTTGGGGGTGGACAGATGAGGTGTGTCTAGTCAGAGATGGGGGCAGTGTGATGAAGAGGAAGATACAGATGGAGAGATGTTAGGGAGAAAAGAATTGACCTACTTGAAGGCATGGCTCTCACACTTCAGAGGACAGCCATGCAAACTAAGGAAATAAGGTTCCATCATTATAGACAGTGCTCCTCAGTTAATGTTTCTCCTTGGATGTAAGAGGAGAATGTTTCAAGATCCAAACTACCTGAAATCATGCTAAATGGAAACTATGGGCTGGGGCACCCAGGTGACTCAGTTGGTTAAGCATCCCACTCTTGATTTCAGCCCAGGTCCTGATCTCACAGTTGGTGAGACTGGGCCCTGGGCTGACAGCCCAGGGCCTGCTTGGGATTCTCTCTCTCCCTCTCTTTCTGCCCCTGCCCCCACTCGTGCACGTTCTCTCTCTCTCTCTCAAAGTAAGTAAATAAACTTTAAAAAAATACTCTCTTTCCTGACCTTTGTGGTGCTGAGAGTTGGGGCGCATTCACATTGCAAAGACCTGAACAGTCATCCCACTTGAGCAAGCCTATACTTTGAAATCAAAGCGCCTTATGGTAAGTTAAATGCAAAACATATGTTACCATAGGGCATTTAAAGTGGTCTTATATTTTTTGCATAACAATTATCCATGTTTCTATATGTGTACATAGTGTGAAAGGGTATTTACCCAAATTGCCTTAAGCTGGTGATGCCATGGGGTTTTCTCTTCACGTTATCATTTGCATATTATTGGGATGTTTTAATAAATTTTGTGAATTTCCCCAACATTTTATTAGGAAAAGTTGCATACATCAGAATAGTTGAAAGGGATACACAGGAGCACACGTTTCAGGGAAACGGTAGCTGGGGCTTCAGCTGAGGAGCAGGGACAGAACAGCAGAGACCTGCTGTCACACTGAGTCAGAGCGCAGCGAAGAGGGTCTGCAGCCAACACCCCCTCAGTGAGGCAGCAGAGGTGGGGAGGTTGGGTTGGAGAGTGTGGGGAGGGGCAGAGGGACCCAGCCTGACCATGCCTGTGCTCATGATGGAATTCCTCAAACCTGCCAGGTGTTAAAGAGCCACGGACAAGACTACCTTGTTGGCAACAGGCTGAGCAGGGCTGACATTCACCTGGTTGAACTTCTGTACTATGTGGAAGAGCTTGACCCCAGCCTTATGGCCAACTTCCCTCTGCTGAAGGTAATCTCTCTGACAGCCTTCAGGAGGGAAGGCTCGCATCTCCCCCTCCAGAATCTAACATTTACATTCGGGTCCCATCGTTGCCCAGGACTTGGCTGTCCCCACGTCTCCAGCATTAATTACCTCCTGGGTGCTGGTCGAGGCATGCAGAGAATCTTGTCACGCCCAGAACATCTGAGGTGGATGCTTCCCCAAGAAGAACACTTTGTCTTTACCATGAGAAGGACCCAGGGCTCGGCATCAGTCTCCCCATCCCCATTGCTTTGTGGCTTTTGTCCTTGGTTTCTCTGGGATTTCCCTTATCCACCTGTGTCCTTCTCTTTCCTTCCTGTGCCTGTCTGAGGAGGTTTCCTGCCTTCTGATTTCTTCCCTCCGCACCTGCTCCTAAGAGCAGACATCATGTTTCCCTGGGCAGAGTCTCCCTCTCTCGGCCCCTCTCTCAGTGGGATGCCTGGTTTTGACCAGTCTCATGGTTCAGCTTTCTATATTTTCTGTCTCTCGTCCAGGGCAATTTTCCTACATTTTCATTGTCTGTTTGGAGACTTGATGTGTGTGGATTCTGACAGACACAATCCTCTTCCCTGTATTGCACAAAAGCAATGAAGCTACAGGCTTTTCGTGTAGGGAAGAAGATAGGGAAGACCTGAAACAATAGAGCCTGAAAGAAAGACATCTTTGGGGAAAATGGGATCGAGCTGTCTTTTCTTCCTCCCGTCTTCGTGTCTCACTGGCTGTGCATTTCCCAGCCTCACACTGGTGCTGATGGAGGGCACTCAGCTGGTCCTTGTCTAGGAGGGTCTCTGGCTTGTGCCAGGGATGGGGCTGGCCCTGGCTCCGTCTGAGGCTGTGCCCTTGTGTATTGCAGGCCCTGAAGACCAGAATCAGCAATCTCCCTCCCGTGAAGAAGTTTCTGCAGCCTGGCAGCCAGAGGAAGCCTCCTATCAGTGAGGAAGATTTAGAAAAAGCAAGGAAGATTTTCAGGATTAAATGAAGCGGGCATGGATGGCCAGCACTTGCATCTGGGGCTTCCAACAATTACGTGCGTTACCTGATGTGGATCCTGATGATTACGAGGCTAGTAAAGTTCTCAAAAGTATATAATTTCATCTACATGAAGATTTACAAAGCAATTTATTTTGTTTTTACCAAATAACAAATCATGATCAGCCCCTAGGACATCTCTTGGACTTAAAAATAAATAAAGGGAGAAAAAAATTTAATGGATTCTTTGATGTATTAAAAAATTGTCGTAATAGCTATCATATACCTTGTCAAAAAGATTGAAGTAGAAAGTTTCATGTGACCTATATTTAGTAACACAAAAAATGCTTTTTTTTCCTTTGTATTTGCTGTATTTCTTAAAAAAAATTTTTTTTTAATGTTTATTTGTTTTTGAGAGAGAGAATGCAAGCAGAGTAGGGGCAGAGAGAGGGAGACACAGAATCCGAAGCAGGTTCCAGGCTCTGAGCTATCAGCACAGAGCCCAACGTGGGCCTGATATGGGGCTCAAATTCATGAAGTGTGAGATCATGACCTGTGGGGAAGTTGGATACTCAACCGACTGAACCACCCAGGCGCCCCTGTATTTGCTGTTTTTGTGATGCAGCCTAAAAGATTCCTCCTCCCTTCACCCTCCTTCCTTCCTGCCTGCCTTTTTCCTTCTTTCCCTCCTTCTCTCTTTCTTTCTTTCTTTCTTTCTTTCTTTCTTTCTCTCTTTTCTTTTTTGTACAGAACCATTTTCCCTCAGTTGATGAATCTTTTTTCCTGTTTAGTTATGGAGCATATATTTATTTTACCTTTAATATAGAACATTCTGTGTGCCAGGAGCTGGGTTATTAATGATGAACAAGCCAGATATAGTCTTTGGCCTATGGGAGGTTACTATAGTGATAGAAACAAACAAACAAACAAAAAAAAAAGGTAATTCTAATCCAAAATCCTGCATACCTTGTATATCATGTTCCTAGGGCTGTTGTAACAAATGACCACAAATTTAGTGTTAAGAACCATAAAGTGTATTCCCTCACACTTTTGAGGTTCTTTGTGTGACATGAAGGTATGAGCCAGCCATGCTGTCTCTGAAGGCTTAGGGAAGGATCCTTCCATGCCTCTTTAGCTTCTGGTGGCTGTTGGCAGTCTTTGACATTTCTTGGCTTGTAGATGCATAACTCCAATTCCTGCCTCTATTGTCACATGGCATACGCATTTGTGTGTGTGTCTATCCAGATTTTCCTCCTCTTATAAGAGCACCAGTAATCAAATTTGGGCCCATCCTAATCCAGTATAACCTCATCTTAAATTGACTGCAACTCCAAAGACCCTATTTCCAGAGAAAGTCACATTCACAGGTACCCAGGGTTAAGACTTCAACCTATCCTTTCTGGGGGACATAATTTAATCTACAACCTCATGCTGGGGCACAAGATAATGCTGAGCATGAACCTAATTGGGACACCTTTGCCTGAATCTATGAGTCCTTCATGGTCTGTCATGAAGGGCAGTCATAGCTGATGTGAGATCTGAGGAGCCAAGTTGCAGCAGGTAAGGTCGGGGGAGCTTAGGTTGGGCAGTAGGGATGGAATCCAGGCAGGAGGTCAGCAGGATCACTGACCATGCAAGAGAGAGACTGAGTATTTGTATTGGAGGAAACAGAAGTCATTAGGTCTGGGTGTAGCATGACAGCACAGGTGGGGAAGGGCAATGATGAGGTGAGATGAGGGAACAAGGCCTAGAGTCTAAGGACTTTGAAGGCCATGGCAAGAAGTTTGGATTTTGTTCCAAGGAAAATAGGGAGCCACTGAAGTACAGCCATACACCCTGCTCTATGAGCCTGATGTACATATAATAAAATCACATCTTTTCAATATTCATTTTAAGTCACTCAAGCACACATCTTAGACCAGTAGGAACATTCATTCCCAAAAGCAGTCTCTTTTGCAATGGTACATCCAGCAACCTAGGGGCTCACTCCATTCAAGGAGTCCAGTAGACCCAAGACTGATCAAAACTCCCAGAATCCCTCTGCGGTAGTACCTGTTCTCTGCTGCCCCTCCCGCCACATGTAGTTTTTGTTTTCCCAGACAGTCTGGTCTGAGAAGGTTTGGTCAAAACTGGCCACCGTTCGTCCACCTGGACAGCAGCATCCTCTTTCTCTATAGCTTCAGAGGGAAGGAAGTGGAGGTCTCCCTCCTTGCTGTCACTCAGGCCTGGGATCTCAAACTGTACATGGAGATATATAGTCCTTTACCCCCCGGCCTGTCGCCATGCTGGAGAGGCTAGAATAGAGTGATGTCCAGCCTCAGTTCTCTACTGAGCCTGAAACTTGAGCTCCCCCAAGAAATGCAGGATCTATGGGGCTGAGCCCAGGGCCCTAGCCCCAACTGGCCATTTTCATAGTGTGAACTTCCCCACAGCTGCATAGGATGGGACAGACACATACACAGGACGCATGGCATGTGTCCTTTATGCCTACCCAGGGTTAGGTCAGTTCAGCCCAAGCAAGATGTGCCAAGTTGTCCTCCTAGGAGGCTCCCAGTTCCCTTTGCATGGACCTGCTCTCTGTCCAGCCCTGGACTCCTCAAGTTGTTTATGAGGAGTTTGTTATCTATTCTTCCTACAATATATTCTTATATTTTGCTCCAGGACAGAGCTTCTCAACCTCATCACATCTAGCCTTCCCCAGTTTCTAACATATTTTATAATCCTTTCTTATTATCCTGAGGTGAACTCCATAACATTTACCTCATTATGGCTGGTGCTCTGAGTACAGGAAGAGTAAGATACCATCTCACCTCAAAAAGGGTGGCTGAAGAGAGGTTAGTGAAATGCCTACTTACAAAGCTGGGGTAGCATTAAGATACCTCAAGGGGTGGTGATACACTTGGGGCTAGCCACAAAGGCAGGCCTCTACCTCTCCTACTCTTGATGGGACAAGGGCAGAAAGCAGTACAGGAACCGAGTTGCAGGTACAGGAAAGGGCCACCCTGACAGAGTATATGGCCTTTAGAGAGGAAGGCACTCACTGGCAACCCAAACTACCAAGGACACAGTGACAATTAATAAACATCACAAATGACTGGAAATTATCACCATGATTTCTGACTGGTTTGCGCTATAGCTTTATCCAATATTTTGCCATACATAGTTTGGTTAGAAAACAAAAGGAAATATTGTTTTTTTAAAATGTTTATCTATTTGAGAGAAAGAGAGCATGAGTGGGGGAGTGACTGAGAGAGAGAGGGAGAGAGAGAATCCCAAGCAGACTCCATGCTGTCAGTGTAAAGCCTGACATGGGGCTCGATCTCATGAACTCTGAGATCATGATCTGAACCAAAATCAAGAGTCAGATGCTTAACTGAGCCACCCTAAAAAGAAATATTGTTAATTTTCACTATATATCCTGCCTTACAAATTAATTCATATGTACTATACAGATGTCAAGTGTTTTGAATATCACTCCTGGGTAATCTGTGACATAAAAGGATAGAGATGTTTGTTACAAAATAATTTACATTTGGTATATGACCCTTATACCACCCACCATTTTCATGGAGGGATTATATAGATATAATTGAAATGAAAATAGATATTAATTTCTCTGACTATACTGGAGAAATTGGGTCAAGATTTGAGGTATTGTACATGGTAACTTGCCAATTTTCCAAAATCTTCTTGAAGAACAAATACGTATTAGAAACATTTTGCCAACCAGAGCTGGTTGGACAAGGCATCCATGAGTCAGCACAAGTATTATTTAAAAAAAAAAATTTTTTTTTAAGTTTATTTTGAGAGAGAGAGAGAGAGAGAGCATGAGCGGGATAGGGACAGAGAGACAGGGGAGAGAGAGAATCCCGAGTGGGGTCCGCACTGTCAGCAGAGAGCCCGATTTGGGACTCAAAGTCACGAATTGTGAGATCATGACCTGAGCTGAAACCAAGAGTTGGACGCTTAACTGACTGAGCCACCCAGGTGTCCTGAGGTCCGCACAGCTTTTATCTGTATTGTCTTTGATCTATTTTTTCCTCCTACCTTTCTCTCACAATCTTTGCTTACCTCTTCTCTGCACTCAATAGCTATGTTTGAAATATTTGTCCTTTGAAACTTTCAACATAATTGTGACATTCTAAGTCAACAGACCAGCCAAGGATACCTAGTAGAAAAAAATATTTAGACTCTGACCTCAGAAATTGATGAAATCTTCTCAAGGAAGATATTATTCTCAAGGAAATAATATTTAAATAGTTTATTTTGTTTCATTCAGTAAATGTTCATTGAGCACCTATTTTGTTCCCTGCATTTTTCTAGGCACAGAGGATGCTATGGTACATATAAGAGCATTTTCCTGCTCAGATGACAAGTAAATAAATCAATGAAAAATTTATTAAGGTTAGTGATAAGTGCTGTAAGGAAAATAAAACAGGGTGAGGTGATGGAGACTTTTTAGGATGGCAATGGAGAAGTGGTTAACTTAAAATGAGTAATCATAGAAGACTGAGTTCTAAATGACAGGAAGAAGCCAGGCATGAGAAGATCCAAGGTAACAGGATATTAGCCAGAGGTATCAGTGAGGACCAGGTCTTGGTCACAAACAACTTTGGTATGTTTCAGGCACAGTAGTCAGGCAGATGTTGTGGGAACATGATGAAAAAGTACTGGAAGATGAGGTCAGAGAGGTAGACATGGGTGTATCAGTTATCTATTGATACCTAATTAATCAGCCCAAAGTTTAGTGACTTAAAGCAACAAACATTTACTATCTAACACAACTTCTGAGGGTCAGAAGCTTGGGAGAAACTTAGGTAGGCGTTCTGGATCAGGATCTCTCAGGAGGTTGTAGTCAAGCCATCAGCCAGGGCTGTCATCATCTGAAAGCTTGATTGAGGATAGGTGATCCATTTCCAAGATGGTTCACTCACATGGCTGTTGGCAATGGACCTCAATTCCTTGTTAGGTCTGCTTCTCTGTAGGGGCTGCTTCAATATTTTCATGACAGATCAGCTAACTTACCATAGCGCAAGCAATCCAAGGGAGAGCAAAGCAGAAACAGCAATGTCCCTTATGATCCATTTTCTGAGGTCACACTTCTGATGACAGTGACAGACTAGAGACCCACCTAGGATGAGGAAGCAGTTGGAGAGGAGAAAGAAGGCAAGTAGAGTGGGAGCCAGGCAAGAAATCTGAGGAGGTGGTGTCTATGAAGCAGGGGAGAGCCGGGAAAGTGTGGCGTCATGAAGGACAGGAGCATGAGGACTGGAGAGTGAACACTGAAGTTGGGGACAGGAGGCCACTGCTGGCCTTGATGAGAGCAGCCAAGCGTGGGACAGAAGGCCAACCAGAGTGGGTTAAGAAGGAAATGGGAAGTGAGGAGTAGAGACAGCAGACACTGACCACACTTTTGAGAAGTTTTGCTCCAAGAAAAGGCCGATGAGTGGGACAGTAGACTTTCTCTGAGATCTAAAAAAAGAAAGGGTTAAGTAGGTTGGGCTCAGTTTCATTTGCAATTGTGGGAAGTTACCTACGAACAGCAAGGCTGTGTACTACAGTGACAGATTCCTAAAGGCACTTAAGTTGTTGGTACCAGAAAGGTCCTGTTGCTCTGGAAAGTGTGCCATCTAGTGCTCAGCCATGGCGTCAGAGTCATGCTAACTTCTTAAAAGAGTAGGTTGGGCCTCTTTGGTTCACAGCAATCTGTTTGCTGGAACAGAGAAATTGCTTTTTGTTATAAATCTTAAATCTACATTGGAGAACAGCCAAAAGAGAAACTCAACATTTCTGACTGAAAAGCTGAGTTGGAAAGTTCTCCATGCTTCCCCTCAACACCTTCCAGATCATTCCTCTTTATTTCTTACTTCTTCATCTCTTTATCTTCATCCATCAGACCCCTATTAAGTGTCCTTTTCCATTGTCTACAATCTATAATATAGATTGGACTGATGCTCCCACAAGCCAGAGATTGCCATGCAACCACCAGCAGCTAGGGGAGGGGCATGGAACAGATTCTCCCTCACCACCCTCAGAAGAAACCACCCTTTTTGACACGTTGATTTCAAACCTCTGGCCTCCAGAACTGTGCGAGAATAAATTTCTATTGTGTAAGCTGCCCAGTTTGTAGTAATTTGTTGCAGTGGCCACAGGAAACAAGTCCAGCTACTTTTTGATAAACAAGAATGAATACACATCACAACATAGATGAATCTCCGAATAACGATGCTGAGTGGAAGAAACCAGAAAGATCAGAGCACTTATTGTATGCTCCCATTCATATGAAATTCTAGAAAACACCAACTAATTTATCATGATAAGAAGCAGACGGCTAGTATGGGGAGGGGCAGGAGGAAGGGATTCCAACAGGGCATCGGACATAATGTGTTTGCTATA